AAATAGTTATTCTCTATTCATCATAATGAATTTAATCGGCACATATTGACACTAAAAATTCTAGTGGAGAGAAGGCGGTGGTTCTTCAAGGTGATCCTAGGTTGAGTAAGTCAATGGTGTCTTTAAAGACCATGATTAAAACCATCCGAGCATGAAGGAAAAAAGGTATTAGTGGAGCCGAGTTGTATGACACTCCAAGATGGAGAGAAAGGGAAGCTCGATTCCAAAGAGATACAAGAGGTGGTTGATGAATTTCAAAGAGTGTTTGAGGGCTGAATGAGTTACCACCATGGAGGGAAAAGAGTTATGAGATAAATCTCTAACCGGGAACTATTCCAATCAATGTAAGGCCATATCGATACCCACATGCTTAAAAGGATGAAATTGAGAAATTAGTGAGAGAAATGCTAACGGTTGGAATTATATAATTGAGTGTGAGTCCCTTCTCAATTTTGATCTTATAGGTGAAAAAAAGATGGCAATTGGAGATTTTGCATAGACTATTGAGCACTAAACAAGGTCACGAGTTCAAGATTATTTCCCTATTCTTACCATCGATGAGCTTTTTGATGAACTGTAAGGGCTTGCCTATTTTCAAAATTGGGCCTTAAATCTATGTGCCATCAAATTCAAGTGAAGGAGTAAGATGTATTAAAGACAACCTTCGAACTTACGAAGGGCATTACAAATCCTTGGTAATGCCTTTTGAATTGAAAAATGAGTCGGCCACATTCCGATCAATCATGAATTCCATCTTTAAGCCAATGTTGAGAAGAGAGTGCTCGGTGTTCTTTGACGACATACTAATTTACAAGCACATCATGGGATCAACACATACAACATCCGAGAAAGGTACTATCATCTCTCAAGGCTAATAATTTATGTGCCAACTTAAAAAAATTTAATTTCGATCGAGACGAGATTGAATACTTGGGGCACATCATTACTACGAAGGGGTATCAGCTAACCACGACAAAATTAAGGCCATAGCATAGCGGCCGGTCTCGAAAAACTTAAAGGAATTATGAGGATTTTTAGGTTTTATCGACTATTATCGTCACTTTATCAAAGACTATGGTAAGATAGCCACCCCGTTGACGAAATTACTAAAGAAGGATGTCTTTAAATGGAGTGTTGAGGCCATTACAATAATCTAAGGATTGAAACAAGCTATGATGGTCATTTTTTACTTTAGCTCTACCAAATTTTAGAGAGAAATTTATTATTGAGATGGATCCTTTAACGATCGGATTAGAGGCAATATTGATGCAACAAAATCACCCACTTGCATATTACGATAGAATCTCTCAAGGGGCAAGCTCAATTGAAGTTAGTTTATGAACGAAACTCATAGCCATAGTGCTTGTAGTGCAAAATGGCGATGCTACTTGTTGTAGAGAAAGTTTCTAGTTTGGAATGATCAAAGAATCCTCAAACATCTCTTTGAACAATGACTAGTGTCAAAGGAGCACTCGAAGTGGTTAAGCAAGCTATTAGGATTTGGCTTTAAAATTGAGTGTAAACCCGGATCGGAAAATAAGACGAGCATAAGCTTTGTCTCGATTGCTAGCCCTCCTACACATAACTATGGCTTAGTGTCTTGATGTGGAAAAGCTAGTGAATGAAATGGAAAAAAAACCTAAAAATAGCAGCACAGCAAGCGGACCTTGCAATAGGACCACGATAGTAAACCACTTGGTAATCTCTCAAACTTCTTCCTCGGTATCAAAATTACTAGTTAAGTTTCATGAAAGTTTAGTCGGGGGCATGTGGGTTACTTAAAAACCTATAAGAGGATAATGGCACAGCCTTTATTGAAAAAGCATGAAGAATGATATTAAAAAATATGTGGAGAGTTGTGAAGTTTATGAGTAAAACAAAAGCTTTTCATTATCCCCCGTAGGTCTCTTGTAGCCCCTTCCAATTTTGAAACAAATTTAGGACGATGTGTCCATGAACTTTGTTGAGGGGTTACCCAAATTAGCAAGGTATAATGCAATATTGGTAGTGGTGGACCGTTTTAGCGAGATATAGCCACTTCGTCACCTTAAAACATCCATTTTTTATTATTGGAATTGTAAAGATCGTTGTGTAACACATTGTCAAGCTCCATATGTTTCCTAGATCTATTATTTCGGATCAAAACAAAGTTTTTATAAATTCCTTTTAAATTGAACTATTATGCCTCTAATAAACACGGATGAAGCATAACATAGCTTACCACCCCCAAACGGACGGTTAGACCGAGGTTATAAATCGATGCCTTGATAACTACTTATGTTGCTTTGTGTAGAACCAACCAAAGACTTAGAATTATTGGCTACCTTAGTGTGAGTAATTGTACAATACATTGTTCCACACTTCCACCAAGCTCACCCCTTTAAGGTGGTGTATAGGTAGGATATACCACTTCGTTGTAATTTTCTAGCTATAACACCTACAAATCTACTATGGAGGAGTAGTTAAAGGCCGGAGATTTGATGCTTAAGGAAATGAAAGAGCAGTACGCACTGCCCGATTGCGCATGAAAAAACAAGCAGACCAACACCGACATGATTTGAGTTTTTAGGTAAGGGACTTGGTGTATTTGAAACTTCGAACATATCGAGTAAATCGTTGGCTCGAAAGCTGAATGAAAATTTATCACCTCACTATTTTGGTCCTTATCCGATTGTCCAAAAAATTGGTCTACCGATTTACATGTTAGCTCTTCCCGATTCAGCCTCGATCCACCTCTTGTTTCATGTTTCTTAATTTAAGGCTGCCATTGGGGTGGAAAAAACTAGCTAGGACCTTCCCCCTCCTTATAAGATGATTTCGAATGGAGAGTGGAACCGCATTCGCTTTGGATATGGGTGTGGGGAATGAAAGTAGAGTCGGTCTAAAAGTGTTGATTAAATGGAAGGGGTTGCCAAATTTTAAAGCCTCTTGGAAGCCATACCACAATATTGATCAATAATTTCCCTCCTTCCATCTTGAGGACAAAGTGAAACTCATAGGGGAGGTATTAATAAGCCTCCGGTCCACTTCCGGTATGTTAGGAAGAAGAAGGGAGGCCCAACCGCGATAGCTATGGGAATCGATGTGCTTGAAGGTTTAAATTTTGTTGCTATCAATTATTCCTATTTTGTTATTATGTTTCTCTTTGAGTGGGTTATGTTATTGGTTAGTACCATCTAGAATAATGAGGTGGCAATATTATTAGGATCTTCTAACGAGTATTGTTGAGTATATTACGGGTATAAGTGAGGTAAGAGGAGCATGTTTTTATGTTTTCGGTGTAGTGAGAATTGGGAAAGCATGCACCTCTCGAATGTGTCCTACTTGCTCACCGTAATCAACTTCCTTTTACTCTCAATAAACCGGACTTCATCTATCATTTACATATTATTAATACTATTATATTGGGTTGCAACATGGACCCCAAACAAAAATAATTTTAAAGACATTTTCGAAGTCAATGATTATAACTAGTTTTAGGGGTTTGCTAGAGTTATTTGTAATAACTTAAAGCATATTTAACATGGAAAAAATAGCAATTCTTAAATAATAATTTGGTTAAAAAAATAAGAAAACCTATATGTGGAACAATCGATAAATTCATAAATTAATACAATATTTTTTTGACTAGGAATAACAATAAATAAAATTTGAAGAATGTGTATTTATAAAATCAATAGATACTTACAATGTCTTGTTATATATTTGAAAAAAAAATCAATAGATACTTGTAATATATATATATATATATATTTTTGGTTTTTTCTAATAGGTACTTATAATGTCTTTTAATACTCAATGATTATATATATATTCAAAAGATAACGAGCCTAAAATCATGGTTAAGAACTTTTTCTTTTTCTTTTTTTCTTTTTACGATTATGGTGATGAAAATCTTAACAAACTAATTTTTTTTTCAGTGTTCCATTAAATCTCAAAAACTTTAATATTTTATTTTATTTTTTAATATAATTTTCATACACAAAGCTTATCTACCTAATTTGCTTCACGTCACAATAAATGTCCCTAAAGAAGTAAATAAAAAGCAAAAAAAGTTAATCAAATAAGTAATATTTCTAATGAAAAAAGTGAAAAGATTTTTATTCATCTTCTTTCTCATTTGAAATAGACAATAAATAGTAGATTTACGAGTGTAGAATAGCCATTAAAAAAAGAAAAAAAAATGAAGAAGAAGAAGTAAGTCTAGAGAAAAAAACATGTCATTGATATTTGTTATTTACTAGTAAAGGATAAGAAAAAAAGGTTTCTTTTTCTTAATAAAAAACACATGCTCAATCGAAAACATCCATCAAAAGTAAGAAATTATTAACAAACAAAATAAAAGAATAAAATCTTTTACTATTCACCTATACCTGGTCATTCACACTTAGTTTCATTATTTACTTATTTTACACGTATTTTTTTTGGACTTCACAAGTGTTAGCAACTCGCTTTCTCTTAGACTTAGTTTGTATTGCTTCTTTTTTTCTCTTAAAATTCTAGGGTTTAAGTGAAGTTTATCGTTACCGTTTGCTGAAATTCAAAAATTAGTGGCAATGGGGAGCAATTTATCCCAATCTCTAGTGAAGGATTGACATAAAAGCTCTCATACGAGTAGAGGTAAGGATAGAGATAGAGATGTTTTTCCAGTAAGAGAGAAACACCTGCTCAAGCCACAATACTAATAAATCTCCGAAGAAGCTCGGAGATGTTCATTCTCTATCTCCTCCTCCTCTAGCAAGAGATAGGAGCTCTCAAAAGGATCGATCCTTGGTAGAAAAGAATAGAAATTCAACTCGCCTAAGTTCTCTTTCGCTAAGGACTAAAAGATTAAGGAGAGCCTAAGATGAGAAACAAGGTGAAAAAACGAGGGGTGGAGAGATTGAGAGGAATCATAATAAGAAGGGAAGCGAGAAGGGTGGCATGCGTAGGGAAAGAGAGAGTGAGAGAGAATATTATGAAAGGAATCATGAAAAGGGAAGTGATGGGGGTTCGTGAAGGAAGAGGGAGGTAAAAGAGAAGTGAAGAGGAATCGAGAGAAAAGAGGAGAGAGGGAAGTTTGGAAGGAGAAAAGGTCATGGAGGGATAAGATTGAAGGAAAATCTTCTTCAGAGGAAGAAGTAGGGAGCTGTCACCATTGGAATCGGACCTTTACAATAAGAGCAAACATAGGTATCAATCGCCACCATCTCAATCAGATAAAGACCGCAATGAGATATCCGATGATATTTACTACTTATAACGCTTTGGTCTAAATATCTTTTTGCTTCAATAATCTTATTATTTTGTTATTTGTGGTTAAAAATTGTTTGCTTTTGCTATGTTTCGATAAATGTAGGCTAACTCATGTTGTTGTACTACCGTAAATTTGATAAATTTGGAAAGTAAATGTGATTTTTGTATTGGGTTTGATAAATTCTTAGCTTTTTAAAGAAAGGACGGGTTGTTTATAAGGATTTTGAGGTTGGATTTATTTAATTAGGAACTATTTGATGTTGCTTTTTTTTTTTATGTGGCTATTTGGATATTTATTTTATGTAGTATTGTTTATTGGATTTTGATAAATTACTCTATGAAGTTGTTGAAAACTTGGTAGTATTAAAAGTCGATAGCTTTTAGAAATAACCATATTCAATTTTCATCGGTATCTTACTCGTTTGCACCATGCATATGAACTTCAAATCATTAACTTTAACATCAATTCCATTAAAAAAAGAACCTTACCAAACTCCTTAATCTCTCATTATAGTCCATAAAATCTCCTCTTTTGCCTCTTTTCTTAATCGCATTAAGCTATAGCATAAGCTAAAACGAGTATCTATTGGCCACATTATAATTGAAAAAGTCCTAACTGTGGAAATTGCAAGAGCACAAAGAATCCCAATAGAAACCTATAGTATGTTTTGCTAGAAAATCAAGGTCTTAAATCATTTTGGCTCGAGGTTTTAAAATCCTTTTCTTTAACAAAAATGGTTCGTGGATTATACATATTTTGTAAGATTTCAATCTTTGATGGATCTTTAAAGTTGCTTCTTCTTAAAAGATTCTTAAATGCAATGTCGATGAGAAAAAATAATTATTTCGGGGATAAAGTCAAGAGATGCTCGAACAAAGGTAGGCTTCTTCTTAAACTTTTCTTATTCTCATGTTTTCACCGAAACATTGGTAACAAGCCTCTATCGTGTAAACGATATTAAAAAACACCTAATAATAATAAGCCAAATTGTCCCACTTAAATTTGTTAGAAAGAGCATCTTGTTGAGGAAGCATTAGTTTTTTGATGTTTTTGGGGATTAAAAGGCTAGCAAAATAGGTCATTTGATGACACCTAATAATAATAAGCCAAATTGTCTAGCATAAATAAATTTGTTAGACAAAAAATTAGGCCGAGGAAGCATTAGTTCTCGGATGTTTTTGGGATTAAAAACCTAGCAAAATAGGTTAATTGAGGATATGTGATTTCACCAACATAATAGACTAGATCTTGCTATTTTAAAGTGATACATTCTTTACAATAAAAAAGAACACCTCCTCTCCTCCCCCTACCAAAAAATAAAAAAATAAAAAAGGTGGCGTAAGGGGCACATGCACAATACCATAAGTTATAGAAGTGTTCTTAACTTTGTAGTCATTCATGGTTGTTGAATAAAGATTATAAGACAATGATATAAGCACTTTATTACATGTCAATTACTTAGGCTTAGTTGTTTTTTTTTTTCATCTCATAATATAGAGAATCCTTTGCTTTTACTATATTAAGCGTTTATGTAGCTTCTATTTAGAGGTTCCTTGCTTGCATGTGCGGGAATGATGATGATGACAATTCCGTGGCTAAGATGAAGGATGCCGAGGAGGCTTTGGAAGCCAGAAGAAGATAGGAACAACTTGTGTATGGTTGCTATACTTTCTTGTGGTTAATATTTCTCATTAAGTTAGTGAATATAGATTTGTTTGGCTAAGAGATAAATCTTTATCGTGTCTAGCTAATGACCTTAGTTATGACCATTATCATTACAACTTGCAAAAATAAACTTTTTTTGAGCTATTTGGAAAGCTTGCTTGCCAAAACCAATAGAGTCGAGGTGGGTGACATGTACATTGCTTTTAGTTTCACTAAAGAGAATTTCCATTTTTTTTTACTTCATATTTCTATTGAATCTCTCTCTCACACACACACCTCTTTTATACAAATGCGGTGGCAAGTTAGAAGTTGTTTGGCATTTTATCATGCAATTGCTTTACATATTTTGACATATATGGACCATTTTTTGGTCAATTTAGTTGAATCCCTACAAAGTTAGTTATTTAGTCATTTAAAAAATAGTTAAGGTAGTTTCACACTATTTGAGAGGTAAAAAAAAAACACCTGGATTCCCTTAAGCGGCATATAAGCGATACCCTTTCAAATTACATCCCTAGGAGACGAAGAATTAGGCATGGATGTTCGAGGCTTTTTGATTAATGGTGGATTTAATCTGCATAAGTAGGGTTTCAAATTGCCAAAACATGTTTTTTTTTTTTTTTTTTTTTGCTTTCTTTCTTTGGTTTATGCTTGATATGAAAAAACTTTACTAAAACATGTTTTACGCACTTTCTTTTCTCATATTCACTTATGCTATTTGATTTTTCATTTTCTAGGCATTACATTGCTATTCATCGAGCCCTTAGTTGCTAGGAAACCTAATGTAAGATGGAAAATTTATGTTTTTAAGGGTGGCAAGGCTCGAATGGTAAGTCCCGCATATATGACATGTTGTAGATGTTCCCGTAAGGTATGGAAAGCCATAAATCGGACATTATCCATTGCCTTCTCAAATCATGCAATTTTACTCCATCAATAGATTATAATATGTGTCTGTCTTGGTTTGATGTTGGGTTATGACATTGTATAGTTGAAACAAATTTAATTTATTAGGTATTAGCTACAAAATAATAGTAGAATTTAGGTTACATTTCAATACATGTATAAGGTGCCGGGATACGAGTCGGGAGTGGAACTTTTGGTTGAAGTCTTAAAGCTTTCACTTCATAAAGTGGAAATTTTCTTTGAAGTCTTAGGTTCCATTACTTATTTTGTTTTCCTAATAATTTCTTTCCTTGGTTCTTAGGGACAAAACTATACTTTAGTATGAGGTGGCCATGACACCGTAAAAATTTTAGAAATTTTACATTTTAGTCTTACAATTTTGAAGATTTTTAGTTCTACTTCTCAACTTAAGGCTTATTTCATAGGAATACATGTTTTACATCCCAAACAATCATGTATTATTTATATGGATTTTACTTTATTTAATTTTCAAGCTTACCCCGATTGTTTTCCTATTGTGCCCTTCTCTTATTCCAAAGATAGGATTAGAGGAGAGAGAGCAAATCAAAGATGAACTCTAGTTTGTTCTTTTATGGAGATTAGGCAGAGAGAGGGAAGGAGAAGACGAGATGAGGCATAAGAAAAGAGGAGAGGAAGAAGAAGAAAAAGAAGAAAAATTGGGCTAGAAAGTACTACCTACTTATATGTTTTTATGCTAGAAACAAATATGTCTATGTGTTTTAGTCAATAATTAAACTTTTGTACTTACAAATCGAGTCTATTTATGTTTCTTAGTGCAAAATTAAAACTTTTTGCCCATTTTAAAGCTCAATCTACATATGCTTCTTAGTCAATAATTAAAATTTTTACATTATATTAAACTTCGACATGCAATAATATTCATAAATTTTATAATACTAAATAAAAAATAACAATAGATAAAAGAAAAATCACACCAAATAAAAAATTATACCCAACAAAAAAATTATCATAGTAAAACATAGACATACTCGTTACTATTCTAAAATTTTCCCGAAGCGAAGCACGAGCATCTACATTCATCTATAAAAATTATCATAGTAAAACATAGACATACTTGTTTTGCTTTTATATTTCACTATAATTTGGGATCTTTTTTAGTTTTTGAAAAGAAAGAATCCTTGTTTTAATTTTATTTATATGTTTTCGATCTTTTTTTCTTTTTCTTTTTATTGTATTGCTTGATCTAAATTGGAATACCTTTTTTTATTGGTATTCTATATGATTTGTTAACCTAGACCTTTTTATAGTATTTGCATAATAACATAATTATTGGATTATGTTTTGTATGAAATAATAAAAATATAAAAATTCATATGGAAACCGACCTTTAAGAGTTAGTCTACATTTATGTGACACTCGGAAAAAGTATTGCAATTTATGTTATGATAAAAATGACCAATATTTTGTTATGCATTATTACAATACCTAGTAAATAACAACATAAATCTAAGTTGGATTTATGAGATTGATAAGGATAAATCTCTATCTTTTGCTTTGATATTGTTATATGAATTATTTGTATAAAACTTTAATTGTAGGTCTATACGAATAGAATTGTTGGAATTAAGGTTTTGTATGAAATAATAAAATTACAACAATTCATATTAAGGTGAAGATAAGTCACACAAGAGTGCCTTCTCTTCAAAATGGTCGAATATTTCAAGTCCACAAGATCGAAATATTCAGCCTTTGTCTTCATTTATTTTTATGCTTATGTGTTAATTATGTCATATTTTGGATTGAAAAATTATTTATTTTGGATTATTTTTGTTATATGGACTTGAGCTAATTAATTAATCCTCATGGTTGAGTTCATTGTTAAATTCGGGTTTAGCTGAATGTGTTGGGTTTATTTGAGTGATGGATTCTTGTTTGTTATAGATACTTTTTTTTTTTTTTTAATTTGGATCTTTATTTATATGGACACTCTAAATTAAAGTCCTTATTGAATAAGAATTGCATAAGAGTCTAAATAGGTCTAGAATTATTTGCTTTTATTAGTTTCAACCAATGTTAGTTTTTAGTAGTCTAATCGAACGGGCTTTTTGTAACTATAGTTGAAATTACCTAGCTAGTATTCAAACAAACTTTTAATATTATTTTTGTAAGTTTTTTTAAATATTAAAATTAATAAACTTGAGAGATTTTTATTTAAAGTTGTGTTTCCTTGGACTAGAGGGTGCTTTATTCTATCTTTAGACTAGTCAACTAATGTGGATTCTTAGTCATCGCATTTAAGCATTTTGTGGTGGTGGTAACTCGTATTTGCGGTATTCTCTAACGTATTATTCCGTGTAAGTTAATTTTTACCATGTGGTGGTGGATTCTATCTTTAGGGAAATTGTAAAACTTGTATATTTATTTTTTTATTGTTTGATTGCTTGGTTGAATATCAAATTATGGATTTATCCTTGGTTGGATAGTTTTAGCCTTAAAGCACATTTGGTATTTAGGATTGTTTGTTTGATTTGAAAATTTTCTAGTCATATATGTTAGGCCTAAATAGGTCATATATACAAATACATAAAAGTCTAAAAAAAAAAAAAAGAAACGAGGAGGTATTCAACAACATCAAAGTTTTCTAGAATTTAGAGTTTGTTTGGGTTTACATTCGGCTTAGCCTTGTTAGGTGTTTTGGATTGCTTGTTGATTGAGGTGTCTTTGTTCATTGTTTGTGACTATGTTGAGAGTTTTTTTATGGTCGAATATTAGTGTGTTGATTTTGACTTTGTTAGTTATTGTTTGAGCTTCCATAGAGTTAGACATCTTCATCAATCGAGCATCATTTTGGTATTAAAGATGAGGCTAGTTACAAATACATTGGATGATTATGAAGATAGTGGTTTGAAAAGTATTGATTATGGACGTTAGTTCGAAGAAGATTCGGTTAGATGCAATATCTTTTACACATGTTGCATGTCTTTTGGAAAAGTGTATGAGTTATCATCAATAGAAGTAGATGTGAGAACATGATATCCACAAAAATGATAGAGAAATTAAATTTGATGATAATAAATCATCTCAATCCATATTCTTTGATGTGTTTGTGAAAGGAGAATGAGATACGTATGTCTAAAAGATGTTTGGTGTCCTTTTCCATTAGGAAGAAGTATGCCGATAAGGTTTGGTATGATGACGTTTTTACAAATGCTTTGTCACTTGATAGTATGATTGTATAGTCATGAATGATGGATTTAGGAATACCTATGCTTTCACTCGCAATGAAGAGAAAATCACATTGATGCCTTTAAAGAAGAAAGTTTCATCCAACCAAATGAGTAAGCAAGAGAAGATTGCTTCTAAATCCATGTTCATGAAGGTAGTGAAAGAATCGAAGTTAGCATGTGAACTTATTGTCATGAAAGAGAATGAAAAGCATGAATACATTGTTGAGGAGGTCAAACTATTATTAGAGTAGTTTACTTATGTAGTGCCCGAAGAGATTCCCGGAGAATTACCATAAATACAAGATATCCAATATGTTATTGACTTTGTTCTAGAATATTTTATTCCACATAAATCATATAAGTCTATATAAGTATGAAGAGTTATAGAGGGAGGTTATGGATTTAATGGAAAAAAGACTCATGAAGGAAAGTGTGAGTTTATGTGTAGTTCCTATCTTATTGGTGCCGAAGAAAATGGGATATAGAGGACGTGTATTAACAATAGGTTAGTCAATAAAATCACTATTAAGTATCAATTTTCTATTCTAAGACTTGATGATTTACTTGATCAGTTGTATGGTTTTATAATTTTTTTAAAGATTGATTTGTGGGTTGGTTATCATCATATTCGAATGAGATCGGGTGATGAGTGAAAGACAACTTTTAAGACTCAAGATCATCTCTATGAGTGAATAGTTATACAATTTAGGTTATCAAACATGCCTAACACCTTTATAAGATTGATGAATTAGATATTTAGATCAATTATTAGTAAATTTATAGTTATTTATTTTGATAATATTCTTATATATAGTGATAAGTTTAGGTAGCATGTTAGGCTTATAAGGTAGGTGATGATAGT